AGGGATTATATCCCTCTGTAGAATCAAATGGAACGCAGACAGATTACAAAAATGGACAGTCTCGACCCCGGACGCGATTGAAACCCTGCTCCCTTGCTCGCTTCCGTACTCCCGAATGAAAACGCTATCTGTCACTTCACAACGGGCTCTCTTATCCTCTCAGCTCAATGGTTCTGAGTCGCAACCTTAAGGACTCTGCGCCCAAGCAAATTGTAGGTGTCCTTCTTTATAGGAGTGGTCTTCCCCGATTCTCTGAAGCTATCTCCACTTTCGAAGCTTATAGCAGGTACCGAAGGCGCTGCGGCCTTCGTAAGTTGTGTTCTGACGCCTCCCCAGTTGTCCCGCCCACCGACTTTCAAAGGCTATTTTTTGTCACGAGTCCAGTTTTTGCACCGCGTTTTTGTTTTTCCCAGTGTTAGATGGTATTAGCATTCGATTACGTGAAAAAACAACAGTGAGCCAGAGGTGGCAGGATATTGCTCTTCTGGCATAAAATGAGCAGGTCCGGAACACTCGTCCAGACAGGCCGCCAAGTCCTTACTTAGAGTGTTCTCCATGATTTTTTTGCTTCTTTCTTCCATGGAGAGTCATTTAGCAAATAGAAGTTTGCTACCGAACGTTACTATCCACAATATGAAATCGCAAGATCTTGTCTTTAAAGTTCACACGTGGTAAGCATCTTTTCGCCCCACCCCAGACGCCGCGCCCCTTTTCAAGCGATCATAATTTGAATAAATTCATTATTACATCGATAGAGTAGTCAACGGTGGTCACAAATGTGGAAGCCAGATTCGTTACCTCAATCTCGCAAGTTGGTTATAAGAGACCAAATTTGCCAATTCCTTTGAAACATTATTTCTTTGACGCCTGTATCGTGGCCATCGAACGCTATTCAGCCGAGAGGATATGATAATCGCATTCAGAGACTCAAACCATATGTGTCACTAGTGCATTTCACGAAGTTGTGCTGGCGGTTGCTGCGCTGCAATTTCACGACTTCTAATCGAGTTGTCTGGTCCCTCTTAGGTTCCCATACTTTACCAGCAGTCTGCTATCCTGCTACTTCCGCAAACTCTCCACTCCTGAATGTTGGTGACGCTAAAAGACGCTAGTAGACGCATGCGGACGCTGGCGTCCGCCAGGTCCATATTCATACTTTCCTAATGCTGGTAGACGCTGGTTGACGCTACTAGACGCTGGTGGAGCCTCCGCTCGCCAGAGCGCCAGCGACTGGCAAGTGCTTGATCGATATCTATACTTTCCCAGTCGCTGACGCTGACGAACGCACGAAACGCTGGTAGCTGCTAGTGGGCGCTACCTCAAAGTATGAACGCAGCTTAACCCGTTCAACTGAAGCACGCCCAGGAAAACAGATTCCCAGATTAGGATGGAAGGGTTGAACATTACTTTCATGAGAATATAGACCCAATCTCATCATTAACTGCTTTATACTGAAAAAGGGAAGTCAGCGGTTTCCGGCACGGAATCACCGATAACGATAAGCTAAGAATCACCGGTCACGATACGCTACAACACAGGTACCATGAGGTAGGGCACCTGCGACAGTCACAAAATTGGCAAAAGGCGTGACACTTCCCGTGGTCAAATTCCGCATCAGCTCACTCCTCGGTCAATAAAGGC